GTAATCCTACATCACACGGGGTGTATACTCGTACAAGTGCCAACTGTTGGGAAACTGTGCTGCCAGGAATCAACGCTGAGACACAGCATTATTTCACACATTACTTTGAGGAAATAATGAACCCAAGGGTTACAGATTTGTTTTTTGTTTTAGTTCATCTTAAGCCAAAGAAACTCAGAATGAATGTGTCGTGCTCCATCATTTTTGGATATGTCTTCACTGCTGCTATAATAATGGTAAGAAACTCTGTTACACTATAATTACAGTAATAGCCTTGACGCCAGTTGCCTGATGTGAAACTTGGCTATTCTTATATGAGGCTATTTGTTCTTTAAAGGACCTATAACTGATATTTTATAATAGTAATGCATTCATGGCAAAGGCTACTCATATTTCAGACAAGTGACAGTTTAATTACTATATCTTAAATTATGTAATTGTTCTTACTGATGCATTAATAGTTTGTACATTAATAATATGTGACCAGCATTTTATGATTGTAGTTACTTGAGTTGAGCTAGTTGAAACTATTTTATTTACTCCTGGGCAGAATACTATTAAGTCTAATAGTGCATCAGAATTGATCAGCTCATCATTTTATTTTATGTGTAGAAAACACTACCTAAAGTTGTAAAATATATATAATGGAGCAAAAACCAGAACATAACCCTTTGCATTGTTTTGCTGCAGATGTGGATAATATTGGAAACAGTCAAGTAAAGGACAAGCACATTTAATTTATACCTAACTGCAGTACTGCCTGTTCAGTGTCAAACAGACTGAGAGAGCCATCAACTAGCTAGTGAATATGGAGCATATAGCAACTAAAGACATAGGCAGGTGACAAATGAAAGGATAGCCCAACATAAAGTGGCTAGTAAGGTGCTGAGCCACCACGTGCCACCAGAACAGCTGCTGGAGCTACTGGAAGGATGAACACCAGTCCTCCATAAGATACTTCCTCATAGCATAGGCGATGATTCACACCATTTTCATACTCATCAAACCACCAGTGACCCATCGTGCACTGTGGATGGGGTCAGTGTCATCCCAGAAGAGACCACTCATTCATTCAGGTTTTACCTTTAATTTGTCACTCAGGAGGTGTTATAAAAGAAACAGAAGTGACATCAAATGAATGATAATGTTGCTCTTTATTGCTGGATGTGTAAATAAGCAACTGTGTGCAACCATATGAGCTTAAAAGGTGATGATGTCAATGCTGTGCTTATGACTTGTTTCCTCTGGCCCCAGTGACTAAAACAGCAGGTGATGTGGGTTTAAGCAAGTCAATATCCTCTTAAAATAAGTCTCCTGTCAGCCTATCCTTGTTTCATGGCATGCTAACCTGTATTATTATATAGTGACTTCATTTTATTTACATCTTCACCCAGGGACACTGTGTGTTACAAGCTGAATCAAACCAGAGCAGCAAGAGCCTGCCTGACAATTTCATAGGGTTTGAGTCAGCCCCTGACAAGGTGATAGGTGGCTCAACGGTCCGTCTGCGATATCAGTGCTCCAGGCCATGTCAGCTTGCAGTGGAGGTGGCGGTGTCCATATTAAGGAAGACAGATTTAGTGGTCTTCAGAAGGAAATGGATCGGCAATGCATCCCCAGTCTACAGGATCCACCAGGTACTGCTCAGATTGCCTCCATCCATTTCATATCAACATGACTTTTTCAACAGGAACATTTTGGAGGCCAAGAATGCGACAGTCCGTGCATGGCTAGACCATCTTAAAAATGGCAGTGAGTCTGGGACATACAATAGTTCCATGCTGAGGACATATAAAGTGCTGTGGGTACCACCGCTCTCTGAGCGTCCAGCTAGGCCTCCCACTGAGTGCCCTTCATGGTTTGCTTTAGTGATGTGGCAGATGAGCAGGAACACAATCCATCAGTGTCCACCTGACTTAGGTCAGACCCTTAATCACATTGTCATTCTCTCATATTGTTTACCTGTCTTTATTACCAAATGGAAACATGAAAACACTGTGTATGTAATCCCATAGACACAACTGATATGCTGAAGTTCCCTCTGGCAAGTACTGGTGAGCACTTTGGAGTGGTTCGCAGGTTCCAGCCTTTCATGGACGGAGCCTTGGAGAGAGCCCGTCGTCATGCTGTGACACAACCCAGGTTGGACCTCAGGCGCTGACTTCAGCTCATTTTAGTTGGAGCTCATTCTGTATGATGTTCAGCTACACAGCGTGAAACAGCCTCCTGCAGGGTTCTCCGAATGTTGTATCACATGCTTAAGAATAGCAGATTTTTTTAGATGTTAAGTATTAATAAGGGTATAAAAGTGTACACCACTACATATTGCCCCATGTAGAGTACATAATGTCAGTGGTTTGTGTTGATATCAGCAGAGTGACGGGCCACATCTCAGTGACTGTTTTCTTTTCAGGGCTGGCAGCTGTTAGAACACGCTCCACTTTTACTTTTATTTCACTGTCATTACAAATGACTTTACAAGCGTCTCGAAGCCTCGTCACCAGAGCATGTAAACTTTTTTATTTGCAATCAATGAAAGACAGCAGAATCATTCATTTTGAGAAGACAGCCCAGCATTTTAAATCAACCTCATGCTTCAGTGGCTAAAGAAATGATTTGTCAAATCATGTTTCATTGCTTGGCTTTCAGCGTCACTTTCTCTGTGTGGATCTACCTTCTGAAACGGTGCCACAAGAAGCTCTGTGGGATCATCCATCATGTGAATAGAAAAAAATTATTCGACTCTGTTCTGATGCAGCTTGCAGACACAGGTGGGTCACAGCAGCTTGTGGGCACACCTGAGACCAGTTTAGGGGATTAGATTATGGCAGCATGAGACGATTGTGAGCGATGATGTGTGTTTTGTGAGACAGTGAAACAGACTGCGTTATGTATTAATCAAGAGCTTCGGATCTCCTGCTGTGAAATATATGATTGTCATATCTTTTGTGTAGGGGACATCATAATTCAAGCACGTGTGACAGCAGGAAAAGATGAAGCTTTTCGAGCCAGGGCAGCGTTGCCCCTGTGGAAGTGGATCAGATTAGACTGTTACATACAGGACTCAAAGGTATGGACCCGAAGATTGTGCTTTTGGGATAAAGAACAGAAATTAAAACACAGCTCAGGGCAGCATCTTGTAGTCATCCTTCCTTGTCTGAGTTTAATTCGGTGCTGTGGCCCTGCAGTGTTTGATTTCTTTTTGGAACAGCTGTACGATCCTGAAAGATGGCTGCTTTCCAGCTGGAAAACTCCAGGCAATTGCAGGGTGTACTGCAATTTGAAGCTGTTCACAGCTGACTAGATTTTTTTCTGTGCATAGAGATGTATTATTATGTCTGACTTTCAGGTGGTGTTGGATGCAACATGGGACAATGAAACCCGCAGATATCTCTATAAGTAAGACATTTTATGATGCTTTATGTCTTTTTTCTGAAATAAAACGCACACTGATACAATACATGCACAGAGGCCATTATAGCTAGTTTGACTGATTACGTATCTCTGTAGATTTAAGGGCAGTATTCATTATGACGACACTGATGGATTTTTTGGGATTGGAGGAAGTAAATACATACCAGGCATCCATGGTTATTTTGGGCCTGTCAAATACTATCGCTTTGGAACTGAACAGGTAAAGTGTCTACTTACTTACTCTAATCTCAAGTCAAATGTTGTTGTTTTATTGTGGTTAATCCCAGACTGTCATGTTATTCATATGACAGATAAAAAATCCCCTTCACCCCGAGTCAACATTACTGGAACTGGACAGGGTTCATCAGGAGTGTCGGGAAATAAAAGCATTTACAAAAGCTTTTCAGCAAGAAGCAAGTGAGAGTCACCTCCTGTCACCAATCAGCAAAGGTGAAACATTTTTAAGTCTTTTAAAGCAGTGCTGCAACTGTTCTACAGGGATGAACCTTATATACAGTAAATGTAACACCAAGGTTGTATATAGAGCAACTGCACACCTATCAAGTATGGGAAGACCACTGTTGACAAGCTGCTTTTTATGTTTTACTTCAGACATCTGTACCCCTCACGTCATATCACCATGGGGTCAGTTTGACGAGAAGGAGAAAATCTGCACACAAACGTGGTCCTGGGAAACACAACTTAAATACAGTTCACTTTTTCATTTCTTGCAAACCAATAAGGAGAACATTAGAACAGGTGTTATACATTCTTTTATGACATTGACCACAGACTCCATATATAAGGGATGTGTCACACAACTCACACAGCTGTTCCTTTCTGTAGGACATCTGGGGATGAAGGACCTCAGAAGTATTTTATTTCAGGAGGCACTTGGTACAATGTTCCATGCAGCACAAATGAACATCACATCCAAATCAGTAGCTCTACTACAAGAATCCTCCTGCTTTGGGAATCATAAAGCATCTCTCTTGTTGGCCTCCATCCACCTCTCCAACCTGGGACGCTCAGTCAATCAACAACAAGTACAGTCGATGCCTTCCTTACACCTTAAATGCTGCTTTATCACCTGTAACATCGCTTCTGTAATCATGACTGACAATAATGGCTGCTGTGTGTTTCAGGGACATGTCTATAGTCTGATTGGTGCATCAGGTGATAGCCGTTTCGCCCTGATGCATGCGGGATACAAACACACACAGGGAATTGATGGGTTTCCTGAAGACTTGGACATGGCTTATAGTTACTATTCCAATGTGGCAGCACAGAGCAGCATCGATAGGTCCAGGATTCATGAAATTACGGTATGTTTAAGTAACTGAAATAACTGGAAAGTGTAGCAGTGCTCATAGTGGCCCAAAATGAACAGCTAAATGTTTTCTGCTGGTATTTTTGCTCTTGAGACAAATCCCGAGGTGCTGGTAGATGGACTGAGTTACTTTCAGGCAGAAGCAGGCTGGCTGTTTCCGCTTTTTTATGCTGTTAAGTTAACCGGCTGCTGGTTTCACCTTCAGATTGAACAGACAGATCTGTAGGAGTGGATTTGCTTTTACCTTTTAATTCTCGTCAGTGAAGCTGTTTCCAAAAATGTCAAACTGTTACTTTAAAAAATGAAAAAAGAAGAGAAGAGGAATAGAAATAAAACATTGCAATAAATGAATATTAACTGCAAACATTTAATTAGACTTGTATATTAAATGTTCAGACTATATACTCAAATGCACAGTATGTACAGTATAAACAGACAAAAGGTAAATCCATAAGTTAGACATTCACATGCACATGCTCTAGGCACACAAATGCATTTACATGTATACAAACATGCACAAATACAGTATGAGCGTGACAGCAGTAATTTAAAATGTACTTTCTCTAAAATATGATTAATAGAGTGTCTTTTGCTCCAGCCAGTTGGATCAGAGTTGCACAGAGAAAATAGGTGGGTCTTAAATCTTAATTTAAAAATGTGAATCATGGCTCCCTCTTCATCCTGAGGGAGAGAAGAGGGAGCCATGAGGAGTCGCTATGAGAAAAGTCTACTTCAGACTAACTTCATGTTTATTCTTGGGATATTTAAATAAACTAAATAAATTAATAGAAAACCAAAAGAACAGGCAGCCAATGCACTGGGGTATTTTCACTTTTAGCTTAGGTATTTTGACCATCTTGGAAACTTTCTGAGGCCCAGAGTAGAAGATGGCACAGTAATCGAAATGGACTCGGTCTTAATTAAATGCTGTGAAAACCTATTTTCTCTATCAGATTCTTACTATAGGCATCAGAGTCCTACAGGACCACAAAACGCTCTGCCCACGTTAGAACAGTTTTGATTATTTCACACGAGAGATTTCTGTCTGTGCTGTTTTATCTGAGCTGGTCTGATGTGGGTGGGCCTCAGCTGAAACAATGTGAGCATGTCATGTACAGTACTTCTAAACGCCAGTCAAGATTTAACTATATTGAATAGCAGTCAAATGTCAATCACATGTCATCAGACCACACCCACGCAGATGAGTTGAGATTTGGTTAACAAATTTGTTAATAACTTCAAGATAAGAGCACAAAGCAGGAAGTTGAACTTGATGAAGTTGAAACCAGGACAAATTTTTAGTGTATTATCTAACTCAAACTTGTTGCATATGGGGTCATGGAACACTTGTCGAAGTAATAGAACGGCGTTGCTTTGTTGTAGTAGCATTATCAGTCATAGTAGCAGTAGTAATAGATAACTATATCAATGCTTCTGTTTGTCTCTTCTAAAGCAATACACACCTGAACACATTTATTTAAACAACAAAGAAGATTTAGACCGCCTGACACATGAGGCGAATGAAGTCTATCCATATCTGAAAATGCAAGCAGAGAGAGGACACATAGAATATCAGGTACTGTATATGTGATATACAAAACATTTGACTGTTTGTGAAAATGTACCACACAAACATGGACTGTGTGAGTATGTTTCTATTAGGAAGATGTATAAAACTGTTCCCTATTCTACTTGCATTTCTCCTTTGTGGTCAGTAGACAGCAGTCAGTTTTCAGGCTAATAAAAACTTCACAACTATTATCTTTAGAAACGCCTGGGATCAGCGCTTTACTGGGGACATAGAGGAATCGCGAAAGACATAGCGAGTGCAGTGAAGTGGCTTGAGAGAAGCGCTATGCAAATGAATGATCCCACAGCAATGTATGACTACTCCATCCTATTGATGAAGGTGCTGTAACAGTATAAAGTCTCAACCTAGTTTACAATCAGATTGAACACTGCATATATGTGTGTGTGTGTGTGTGTTTGCCTGTGTTTTGACAGTTATTGATTCACTGATTGATGTTGATTCCTTCAGGGTCAGGGAGTGAAACAAAACTACACCCGAGGTTTACGGCTACTGAAGAAAGCCGCAGTGATGGTACGTGTGTAGTAATCAATCTGTCTGTTTAAAGTATGTACCTGCACTATGATTACAGGTGTCTGTTTCTTTGCTTTAGGGTTCAGTTGACGCCTTGAATGGTTTAGGCTGGTACCATGGAAGTATATTAAATGATCACAAACATGCAATGAAATACTTTGAACAAGCTGCGCTAAATGGGAGCGCTGATGGTATGTTTAACCTGGGAATTTATCACCTCAATGGGAAAAACCCGGAAAACCCACAGAAGAATGAGGTTTGAGTCTCACATGCTGTCTGAATACTGTTTTATTACTAATGTGGTATGATCACTGAGTTAATATATATTCTACATGATTCACAGACGGCTGCATTCCAGCAGTTTTTGAATGCATCACGCTCTGGTCATGTATCTGCATCAGTGGAGGCAGCTTGGTACCTTTCGACAGGAAACCTGGAAGGGGTGTCTCAGGATGTGGAGAGGGCTGTGATGTAAGAGGCTTTCATTAGCTCGGTGAAGAAAGCTTTGTTATGGGCTGTTGCACTGTAGCCTGCAGCTCAGTGGCATCTAATTTCAATGACAGTGGCTAATTCAAGGTCAGAACCTAGTATTTGCATATCTAAAAATAAGAACCACTGTCACTGCCTTATTGTCTGGCACGGAGAGCGATTCTGTTTACCACTGTTCTTGTGGTATCTTATGAATGTAAAGAAGCTCCTGCTGCAGCTGGAGATGCTGTTTTTAGAATGACCTCAACAAATCAGAAACTATTTTTAGAGCACGAAAGCATATTTTCCATTTACTGTATGTAGAGTAAATTATATTCCATAATTCATCAGCCCTCCTTTATCTTCTGTGCAGAATGCTAAAAAAGGTCTGCGATCAAAACGGACACCTTGGATTTATGATCAGAGAGGCTCTTCAGGCCTACCTCCAGGGCTCTTGGTAGGAACATTCTTTTCAAGTACTTGTCAACTGTGCTCATTTGATCATTTCCTCTGGTCTTCACTGTCATAACTATTCATCTTCACACCAGTTTTATTGTGTTGCCAATAGGCAGGGAGCATTTGTGAAGTATGTCTTGGCAGCTGAAACTGGTCTGGGTTTGGCTCAGAGCAATGCTGCATATCTTTGTCAGGTACTATATGGTATTGTTTTGGTTTTATCCCTTTGTGTCTGTCCTTAGACCAAACATCACCTGTCCTTTCAGTTTCATTTTACGCACACTTCTGAAATCAGTGTCTCATGGTTGCAGTTTTGAAGCCAATTTGAATTTTGAATTCAAGTAGTAAAAGAAGAAAACAAATTTGGAGGGAAATTGTCGGCTGTTAAGAACATAACCTTCATCGCTGCTCTGCTTATTTTCACCCTGCACTCATTTTCTCAAATGCAGGAACTGAATCTCAGTTATGATTGTCAGTGGAGATATCATTACTACTCTATATTAAACTATGATCCCCATCCGTCTGGTGAGTTCCTCTCTTTTAATTTTGCTCTCACCTCTCCTTCTCCCTGTCAATCTGCTCGATGAACAGCAAGTATCTATCTTCTTTTATAGCCCTTCTGCAAATGGGAGACCACTACTATTATTCCTCCAGCATGCAAGAAGACTCATTATCCTTGGTCGGTCAGGCCGTATCAATGTATAGCAGAGCGGCTCTAGCGGGCAGCCCTCAGGTGACAGATTTACTTGGGCTGTAATCTCATCTCTCTATGATAAACTTAATTAAACTTCCACAAGCTCAGGCTCACTGCAATAAAAACAACAAACACAATTATACAGTGTTATTATTTGGAGACTGTCTCAGTGAATAACCCATCAGCCCCACATTATAATTTTATTCCTTTATTTATTTACACCGACTCACAGGGAATGTACAACTTGGTTGTTTTGGCTCAACAAGGGCACGTTCTTCCAAGAAGCGTCCAAGGCTTGTTTAATGTATCACGTTATGATCAGACAGACGTGCTGGTGGAGAAGATCTTAAAAAGGTGCCTTTTTAATTTATAATTTTAAAAATCACAATATTTTTTGGGTGATCAGTGTTTGAGCATATGCAGCAAACCAAGGCTACTTACTGATTAGTAGTTATTAGCCATATAGGCTAATGTGCTTCTACTGCAAAAATATGTAGGTCTGATATTTGATATTGTTGATGTAAATGATTTAGGATTTTTTTGTTTTTGAGGAACAGTTGGGTATTTTGGCTAAATACCAAATAATATATCATGCTGAGGGAAGATTGTCTATCTGTTAAATAGCTAACCAGCCAGTTAGCTTAGCATGCAGACTAACTAGCTTTTATCAGTACCATCATATTTACTCTGTTTACAGGAAAGTGGCAACAATCTTCTCTTCTGATTCTTGGCAAGAAAGTGAATGTGTCCCACAATGCCAAATGCCTTTAAGGCCAAGTCCTTTCCAGCTACTGTTAGCAGTTATTAATGCTAAACACTTACACCCCTTACACTACTACTCATTGACATCATTCTTATTATTTTAATGACATGCATCTACTGTTATGTTAATAAATAAAAGTATTATTGCTTGATATTACTATTAAAATGTGTAACACAGTTTACATTGTTTATCTCTTAAGATGTGTAAAGTCTGAGGGTGCAGACGCAGTAACACCCTGTTCTTTAGCTCTACTTGGAGTCCAGATGGGAAAAGCCTGGAGGAGAATGACTCAGAATGGTGCACAGCTCCTCTTGGTAAGCATAACGCTGTCAAAAAACACCACACTGTAAGCTGCACTCTTACAGCACATTATCCTCTTCATTTGACAATTTGATCTACCTTTAATTATTGAAAGTGTGAGAATGTAAATTTGTCTTTCATCATGAATAACACATTCGAGCCACTATAGACTGCACTTTTTGGGAAACAAAATGTGTTCATTTATTTAAATCATTCTTCTTGTTTCTCTGCAGGTGTATGCATCTCTTCTTTCTCTCTGTGTCGTGATTGTTATAATGCCATTGCAGAACAGTCTCGGTAAGTAATTTGGCTACTCACTAGTGCACCCACATCCACATATTTACCAGAAGATGGCGCAATTTCCCCACATATTGGACTCTTCCCACTTGTTCTGACCTGTACCTTAAAAGAAAATCATGAAAACAATTCATGTAATCCTGCTTCTTTTGGCATGAAAAGTGTCCTTACCATCTACTATATGCAAATTAACACAGAACAACAGGTTGCCAGTCACCGTGAGGCTCAACTGAATGCAAGGGCATCATCTGCCAGCCAAGATGGTGTCAACTTGAACAGAGAGCAAGATGGCATCGTGGGAGGAACCTACAGAAGGACAGGAACTCTATGGCTTACCATACTGAATGAAGAGCAGTGGCTACGGCAGACCAGTGATTTGGCTGTGACACTGTCGGGTGTGTGCCTGTGTGCTTTCTGGACCACACTCCTCTATCACCTCCTGTGACATATAATACCCACCACAGTGATCCAACAGCCACAGTAAAAGCCCCACACACTACATACTGTAAGACCACACATTTAGAGGATGAGCTACAGCACTATTCATAGTGTGTTCAGAGACATGTGACTCTTTTTAAGACAGGAGGAGAGAAGTGCTGATCAGAGTGGACATTTGGTACTATATGAGATTGTTCAGATCATTTTTCATCAGTAACCAATTCTGCATTGCATTGTGTTTGCAGAAAATAAAATATTTATCATGCAGTTCGTTTAATTAATACTGAATCCCACCTGTAGTATGTGTCTTGAGGATGTGGTGCCGACAAGCAAATGAAGCATCTGTTATGCAATAGAAGTCCAATAAAAATATTTCTTGGATAAATTAGTAATTTATCTTTTGAAGTGTAGCACAGTTAAAAACTGGAAACTATTCTGATGGCTGCACATTTAAACGCATAAAGCCCCAGCCACAGCCTCAGTGAAGGATGTGCAGGGAGATGTGCTGGAAGCTGTGCTCTAATAGGTGAGCTATTAAGGGTTGTTCCTGGCCCTATCAGTAACATAGAGATGATAAGTGTCTCACCAGAGACTGGACATTCAACAACAACATGCAGGGCTCTTAAACATTTTGTCCAAGACCGGAGCAATGGAATATCCCAGGTTATTGATTTAGTTCCTGGCTTGGCAGGTGCTCCTAGTCAATACAGATAAGAATAAGGAAATAACAGGTTTAGCCAGCCCTAACGGTGCCAACAACAAGAAAAATGCACCTTTAGAGCCACCGCTGGGGATTTATTCCAAAAGCAGTGTCTCTCTGTGCTGCTGTTGTCACTGAGTTCATTAAGATAACATAATGGGGACTACTATTCTTTGAGGTATTTTGTTTTTATGGCTGGAAACACATACAAGGAACAGACACTGTTACTCAGTTCTTAACAGTTATTTACAGCTCTGGGTGACTGTTGTGATGATGTGCAGTTTATAGCAGTGAGTGCTGCTGCCTGGTAGTTATGGAGCTATCATTAGTCAAATAAGGAGTTTAACAGTGTAAACAACACTGTGTGGAGCTCTGACAGCTTAGGCTGAAGTCTGTGTATAATTTGGGGTAGGACTAATTATCTCTGTCTTCCTTTTTTATGTCATCTGTCTTTTCAGGGCCAGGCCACCAAAACATTGCATATGTTATCACATGTACTGTAGTAATCTCTGCTTTCTCTAATCTATGTATTCTTACTGCTTGTCATGACCCTGATGCATGATATTCTAAAGAAAAACTTATAAAACCACAACTGAACAATCTCAGTTTAGAAGAGGAAATGTACATTATAATCTGATTCAATGTTTGTCACTAAAGCTGTACGTCAAAGCTGTCAGTTTGACAAATATCAATGATGTTACCTAAAATAAAATGAATTGCCAGCACAGAAATCTTTCAGGTATATAAAAACAGGCTCAAAATCCAGTTACCCTTAGTTGTGCAGTCCCAGACGTGCATCAGCAAATAGAAAATCTAATACTGCATTTAATTCTTCCATACCATATTATACTGTACATGCAATGAATTTTGAGATTCTGCTAAATCTCAGTAAAACTTTTATTTACAACAAATCTGTACAAACAAATTGTCATCTGCACAAATAATTCATCTGATTTAAACATATATAGTGCAAAGTCTGCATTTTCCATTTGATTGTTTAATGAGTTGATAACATGCTGATTAATGCAACCTTGGACTGTCCTGCAGTTCATGGTAAACAGAAGCTTGACCAGCATGGCCACCTGTGTCTTAGCTGTGTCATTCACACTGTTCATTCTTTTACAGGCCAAATTCAGGAGACTGTTCATTCTTTTACAGGCAAAATTCAGGAGAAACGCATGCTGAACCCTATGAAATATCTGATTAACATGGAGGGATTAAAAAAATGTTAACCAGTAGAAATTACTGTTAAAAAAAGCATAATATTTGATTTGGACAGTACATGTTTCAAAATCCTGTGGTTTCAAACCAGTTGGCATGAGCACAAAATGTCACAAATGTCAACTTCCCACAGCTGTAGAGAGCAATTTTAGTCACTGTAATTGTCAGTTAAAGAGTTTGATCATACTGTGTGTGGCCATCTAATTTCCTGTCACTTCTTTTCAAATGGCTACTGTAACCTGAAACAGAAATACACATACGTCAGTAAGACTGTCAGGTTCCGCAGTGGTGTGGTTTCTACAGAAGCCTTATGGACTGGATGCAGAAACAGCAATGGCTAAGTCAGTATTTTGGTGATTTAATTACCATATGGGGACAGTTTCCACCTACTGACCACCTACCACATCTGCTCTCAAGAACTGGAGAACAACAATGGTAAGAAAAGGAAATTACTGTACATGCGGCCCTTCTCAGTTGTTACAGGCCAAAACTAGCCTGTGTGCACATGCAACCTTAGCTGGACTTTAGCAAGATCTGTATCTAGCAGCCTGGTGAACAACTGATAAAGGAAATAAAAATTAAATGAGCTGCTAAGACTATTATAACATTATAAATTCCATGAAGCATAATACTGTAGTAATAGACTCTATCAGCTTTAGTATTCAATAAACTGGCAAGTGAATATATACACTGCCAAAAATAGTTTTAGTGAGGGCCTGTAATGGTGTAATGTCAACTGCATGACCTTGACAATGGAATGGTTTTAAAAAGTGTAATCATAGTACTGGGCACAACACACTAACCAAAACAATCAATCTGGCCATAGTTATTCAGTGTGAAGAGAGACATTGTTGTGTTTCCATTACTTCAGGGAACATTGCACTGACTTACATTAATTTTGTGGAGACTTACCCTCAAACTAAGTCATCACTCTAAAATATAATGACCTGTGTTTGGGGGCTTGCTTTTTGTCCTCATGAGGATGTCCAATTCCCACAGTGTGACTCCATAAACAGGTTTATGTCCCCACATAATAGCGTGTGTCCCCAGCCCTAACCCTTACCCTATGCCTAACCTAAACCTAGTCCTAACCTGATCCCTAAAACAAAGTCTTAACCCTCAAAAAAGTGTTTCACAAAGTCAGGACCAGCTAAAATGCCATCACTCTGTAGCAAAAAAAAAACCAACAACAAGTATGTAGCAAGTAAGGGAACACACACACACACACACACACACACACACACACACACACACACACACACACACACGTATTAACAATAATAGACATATTTGGCCACTGGCACCCAGGGAGCCTGACCAGTGGTCCTTTGTCTTGGTTGACCAGAGGGCGAGGCTCCTGGTGGGATGAATTCCACAAATCTAAAATATGTCTGTAAATGTAGCACTTGAATGTGAGTGAATGAACAAAAGCACAATGTGAAAAAAGTCAGGAATGTTATCAGGGTTTGTGATGCTTTTAGTATCAACAGTTTAAAATGCTAC